GGGGCACTGATGCTCCTGCCTACCCCTCCTACCCGTCGCCAGAGCGGGAAGCACAGCCTGACAGGGGGTGCACCAGCACTCTTAGGGGGTCCACGTGCACGCCTGTGCACCTCCTACATGTTACCACCAACTTCCAGTAAGGATGAGGGTAGCAGGGACTGGCACTATCAGCAGACCGACCTGTAACCTCATTCCTTTGTACAGATTTTAGAATATACAGTACTGTATACATAGTGCCAAGGATTATTTCTACATTGTGACCAACAGTAACCACAATATACATATCTGCCCTGCTTTCCAGTCCCCTCTGAACATCTAGCAGTAGGTCTCTGCTTTACTTCATTGATCCTAGCAACATGAGGTATGTCAAAAATGCTAACAAAGGGGAAATTCACACTTGCTTCCTAAAACACTTACAAACACCTATAAAACACCTATAAAATGTTTGGTTTGGAGATACCTGTATGGGTGATGTGATATTTAGATCACAGAAAAATAAAGCTAGAAGGGACTTCAGGAGCTTTTACATAGGAGCTCAATCCTGCTCATGGCAGGATTGTTCCCATCTAAACCATCCAAATAAATGCTGGTCTAACCTGCACTTAAAAGAATTCCACAACCTCTCCAGACAATATATTCCAATGCCACCCTTGTTGTTATGCAGATTATCTGCATAAAGCAGGGGTTTTATCTCTGAGTTATTTGGCAGCATTGCTGAAGCTGAGCAAGCAGCTCACTGGAGCAGAGGTCAGAAGAGGGAAGGACTGTGGTGGCGTCATTCCTATTTCATGCCATATTCCTACCTAGATCAACACTCACATGCCTGTATCTCTAATCTGTTTTTGACACAATCTAACTAGTGCCAAGGGCTTGCTACAGCACAGAACTGGTATGGAGAAGTTCTACAAATCTCCTTTGGGGTGTAAGATTGGATAAGACTCCAAGGAGATTAGTGGAACTATGGAAGCCTTTCTGCAACCGGCACCTCTTACAAGGGATGCCAGCCTATCAGAGAACATGGATTTTTTCATTGACTGAGGGATTTTCTTTGAAGGCCCATAAAATAATTTAACCTGCAGAGAGTCCCATATCAAACAGATTTGAGTGCTTGCTGCAGCCCTGCTCCAAGTAAAGGATAAGGACGGCTTGCCCCATTGAGGCCACTTTTTAAAAATTACACCCAAATACCTCTTCTGGCCCAAGTGACATTGCTGAGTGTCATTTCAAGTCCTTGCCACCAAGGTCTTAGAAAGTTTTCTTCTCTCCATCTCTATTCCTTGCTCTGTAGATGCACAGCCTGCCTCTAATGCAGAGGTGATCTCAGTTCAAATAGCTATTAAGATACTTATGCTGATGATAACATCCAAACCATTCTGCAGCATCCACACAGAAAGATTAAGATGTTATCCTCATCAGCATGCTCCAGGATCCCTCCCTTAGCAACTGTCCACCATTCACATATGGAGGCTCCTGCACAAAGGCAATTAATTAATCACAAGACACACACTCCCTCCATTTTCATAGGCTTTGAGTCAAAAGCTTTGTTTCAGCAGATACTCTATATCAGATCTAAAAAAACCCAGGATACAATCTAGAAAAAACATCCAGCTAAATCTCTGCATCAGGTATAGACTATAAAAAATAGTATGGAAGCCAAGGCTCTCAGGCAAGAAAAGGTGCTCTCTGAGGGTTTTCAACTTGTGCTATGTATCAAAACCAACTCAGCCTTACACAAACATTTCTCAAGCCCCAGACTCCAGGCAAGTGAAGTTGGGGTCACATACTTACCATTAGTGGTTCTCAAAAATAAAGATATAGCTTCTAAAAGCTACTATAATACATGGGCCCTGTAGGTCACTACACTCAGGAGTATTTCACAAAAGACATTTTCATAGAGCCTCCACATCCTCAGAATAGACACAGGTGTCCTGTACTGTAGAAAGGCAGATGGTGTACTCCTTGGTTATGGTAGTATTAGTGTGATGTAGTCATGATGTCCAAGACTTGCGTGAGAGACTAGGAGTTTTTCAGGGTGATATTTTTTTCGATCAACTGCATGGTTGGAATAGTTAGAAAAGCTTTTAAACGCAAGATATTTTTCATCAGGTGTAAGGAGGCTATGTCTACACACTTAGACCTTGTTACAAATGCATCTCGGAAATTAAGACCGCTATATAAAAAACAGAAATGTACTTAGCCCATTTCAGGTAGGATAGGAAGACTGCTAGGGGAAATCTACCCTGCCTTCTAAGTTATTTGAGGAAATACAATGCAGCAAGAAGACTGATGCTAGAGCTGCTCAGTAACATTGTCCAACCCAGTCTACTACACGGGAGTAGTTTCTAGGGCTCTGTTTTAACAGTCAGTTTCATCCAATGAAACTAAAGCCCTTTAAAAAAAGCAATCTTTTACCCATAGTTTCACTGACAAACATATTATAGCAATTATAGTTGAGTCACTTTCCCCTCCACAGTAACACCCAGAACAGTGGTTCTCAACCTTTTTGGATGTGAAGCACCTTCTGTAACTATTGTGAATTGAATGACACCCAAATTAAATAACTAATAAATAAATTACAGTGCAGAGGGGCAAGGCAGAGGAGGGAATAAGCCAGGCAGGGACAAGTCTGAGCGTAAGCTTATTTCATCACACCTTGCGTCACCTTGGTTGAGAATCACTGATCCATAGAATAGTAATTTCTGATATTATCTCAACCAGAGAAGAAAGTACCCACCCTCTACAACACAACACAAAATCCAAATGAAACCACAAACCATTCATATATACTGCTATATCTTCACTTACTAAGCCTTATTGACATAAGCTTCCAGAACAATGGAATAAACCCCATCCTAAACTGAAATAGGTACACAGTGCTTTAACACATACATGCACACCTGAAAAAAGCAGATTAAAATCACCAGCCCAACCTAAGCAGGCCACCCTAACAAATCTCAGCATAGAGTTGCATAGAACTAAAATGCTCACTAAATACAGGATCAACAACCACACACTATGGTAGTGGGGCCAACTTTTCTGGCAGGCATGTCACAAATTATCCCCACACGCTTTCTGCATGCCACTCTAGTTCCTTTCTCCTGCCCATTCTGCTGCTTTGCTTTCTGCTCCCTGTCTGACCTACTGCTTTGCTTTCTGCTCCCTGCCCTATCTACCACTGTGCTGCCTATCCCCTCCCTGATCTGCCACATGCCATACACAGATGATATCCATGCTATTTGTGGCACTCAGACCGTAGGCTGACCTCCTGTGCTGTGAAAGGGGAGTAAAGCAAGTCATAGTTTAAACACTAAGCAACTGAGGAGGTAGAAAACTTTTTCATAAGCCCTTTCTGCTTCACTGTCTGAAATTCAAGGGAACTCAAAAATATGAGATGCCATGAAAGACTTGTTTTAAAACAACAATAACAAAAAAGGTACCAAATTGGAGGGGAAATCCTGTAAATAACTCTACGTGAGCCATTATTACATTGCAGAGATAGGACAGAAATAGCCACTCATGACAAATTGGAGAGTTCCAACAGACGCGTTCTTTTCTACTTACCTGTATGTAGACATCTGATGGATTTGTCTCTTATTCACTATGCCAAACACCTGTAAAGCTGGTCATGCCAAGAAAGCATTAATGAAGTGGAATTAGTTGTAACTGAGCCCAGCTGCCTCCCTGCTTTGGCACTGTCTTTCTTGGCCTGCATTCACTTCTTCCTTATTGTCATGTTGTTTGGAGATCTATACACAGATATATTTCACAATCTGGGCAACATACAGAAGCAATTGGAAGACACCCTGCCACATTTCTACCACTGTCAGTAGTAGCACCTGGTAGTAGCACCTGCAATCACTAAAACTGAAAACAATTAGGAAAAAAATATTCTATTTTTGCAGTTTCACTGTTTCAGTCAGCTACCCATCAGGTGCTAAAAGGTATCACCTCCTCAAGAGTTCTGATTACTTTTGCCTTTAGACCAACATGGCTACAACCTGTATCCCTGAAACATGGAAAATATTGAAATTAGCCATTTTGAAATGAAAACTTCATAATTTTACAAGACGGAAGCAAAATTCAACACCTTGAGACCTGAAAGCTGACACTCTTGCTCCAGTCTTTTGTTTCAAGCCAAATTTGCATGCTCACAGAGCAGCCACAACACAAGAGAAATTCCTTGCCCAGGAGGGCCTTCCATCGCCCACTCTCCTGTGAAATATGGTAGCAGGAAAGAAGCCATCACCCATCTTTCTGTGAAATATCAGAACAAGAAAGAAGCATAATTTAACATCCTGCTTGCCATCAGACAACTCTGAGGTAAATAGGCTGCTCCAACTTTCACCTGAGCCTATTGTGCATAAAATGAACTTTTCCAGTCAGATCTTACATCATATTTCAGCTCTCCTGTGAAATATCACTTTTCATTTCCACCTGGGAGAAGTTTTACAATATTTGCACTCTCCTATGCCTGAGGAAGGGCACGTGTGCCCAAACACCTGCAAATAAATAATTTTTTTTGCAACTATCCAGTTGGTCTAATAAAAGATATCACCTCCACAAGAGTTCTGATTCCTTTTGCCTTCAGACCAACACAGCTATAATCTGTAGCCCTGCAAAGCTGAAATTTGTGAGGGCAGCTGGGTAAGGCCTGATGCCAAGCAAACTCTGTCATGCAACAGGAGAATCCAGTACACAGAGGCTTATCCACCGTATACTGCAAGTCAGCCAATACGCCTGTGTCAAAGGGTGGACTCCATTTTGTTTTGTGAATGCCATTTTGTTCCTTCCTTGCACCCTTCACTTTGCATTGTCACCTCTACAGTGTAATGAGACATCCAATTTGGGCCTCCTTGGCCTCTGATAAGACAGACTAACCTAGACTCTGCCCTCCTCAAGGACTGCTTCCATGTTTGCACAGAGCCTGTCACAATGGAACTTTGGTTCTAATCAGACTCTACACCGGGGCTGGCAATTATTTCGGGTGGAGGGCCGCTTACTGAGTTTTGTCAAGCCATCAAGGGCCACATGATAAGTAGCCAGGGGCATTTAAATATACATCTCGGGGCGGGCTCCAGTCCCAGGCTCCCGCCGCTGGTCAGGATCAGTATCACCCCCGCCAACGAGCCCGAGTCCCAGGCCAGGCTCCTCGTGGCCGCCCATGCGCCAGGACCAGGGGACGAGCCCTCCCCACCGCCAGGGGCCAGCAGCAGGGGCTGCGGGCAGAGGCCTTTGAACTCTTCTCGGAGCCAAGTGCAGGGGCGGGTCCTGCGGGGCTCCAGGCGGCCGCCAAAACTCAGCTGCTCCCTCCCGGCGCCCGTAGCCACGCGCGGCACTTCCGCCCACAGCTGTCATGGCAG